ACGTGCTTGGGGGGAGCGGAAAAGAAAGCACAAGCCGCTAGCACAGAGCTGCACCACCACACTTCTGAGGCATGGCGGAGGTCCTTCCAGCCTCTGGGAGGCATGGCCAGGGACCACAGGTGTGGGCCTGGCCTCCCCTGATGCTGTGCGCACTGCCCGAGAGGTTCCTGTGGCCACCGCGTGTGGCAGCCTGCCGTGCACTGGCATCCGCAGGGCTGGTGGGTGGCACTCCGTGGAGTTGCCCAGTGCTTGGGCGTCTGGCGGGGGGAGGCGTGCAAGCTGGATGGAGTTGCAGGGTGCTGTAGGGCGGAGACAGGGATGAGTGTGCACGAGTGCTGGGTGGGGACCCAGGAACTTCTCGGGGTCTGACAATTGCCCTGCCCGACCTGCAGGACGGGCTGAACCAGGAGAGCAGCGGGGAGGCTTCCGGGCAGAGGGCCTGACCTGGAGGGGAGGGAGGTGGAGGGCGGGAGGCAGGCAGGGCCCGGCAGGGCTTGTGCTGTGGCAGAGAGGGCTCCCTGTACCCTAGTGTCTGTTCCCACCCCCCAAGATGGCCACCAAGAAGGAAGACTACATTCCCCAGCATTACTGGCAGTGAGGTCTGGTCATGTGACCCTGCCCTGTCTTGCTCCTCTTTTGATTCTGACAGAGACTGGGGTGGCCGTCGCTCCTGGGGGATGGTGGCTGTGGGCCGGAGGACCCTGCTCCCCGGGGAGTCATGGCGGCTCCCGGGTCAGTGCCGGCCATGGGCCGCACCCTGGGCCCTGCTGCAGCTCCGAGGCGGTTCTCCGAGAGCGGAGTTGGCGAGAGCTGCACTTTACACGTGGGGGACGGCCGAGCAGGGTTGAGCCAGAGCCTCCCGCTGGCTGCCGACCTCGCCCCTCGCCGTCCCGCCTCGCCCACTGCTCAGCGAGGAGCCTGCTGGCAGCTTAGGGCTCTGACAATGGTCTTTACAGAGTGTGGCCTCCCTATCCTGGTGTCCCCTTTCTCGTTTCTTTTTCTCTCTTTTGTACATCTGTGTGAGTTCCTGGGGGTGGTTTCCGAAGGGGGCTGATGGGCATAGGAAACAGGCGGCTCGGTTCCTGCTGTCGGTGAAGACCCTCGACTTGCGGGGCAGAGTCCTGTGGGAAGACCCGGCTCCCCAGCCCTCTGGCCCTGAGCATGGGCCCTGTCTTTGGCCTCGGTCCAGTTTTAGCAGGAATTCTGCCGCGTCAGTGTATTGGAAATCCTACCTGATTACCCTTGGCATCTGCTCAAATTCTTCCTCCCCACTGGCGTTAAGAAGTTGGTGCCTTCCATGAGCGCGTGCGAGGGAGACAGAGACAGATCCCCCCGCCCCATAGGGACTCCGTGCCGCCCTCTGTCCCAGCCCAGATCACGGACACGTGTGTCTGACACACTCTGGGGGGTCTCCAGGACTGAACCCAGAGCCTTCCCATCTGTGTCGGCCTAGAGCGCTGCGCTGTCCTGCCCTGCCACCGCCTGGTGTCTCCCACCCCGATAGCTAAGCACTCCAGCCTGCCTCTAGAGGGCACCATGGAGTCTGCCCAGCAGGGTCCCCCGAGCCCCGAGCCCGGAGTTTCCTGTTGTAATTTCCATCTACTGACCCCCACCCTCCCCTCTTCCCACCTCCCCTTGTCCCCTCACCCCCAGCCTGCTTCTTGGCTCCACCCCCCACTCGTCCTTGGAGTCAGAGCAAGCCTGGCCTCCCTGCAAGGCCCCACGGTAACACCCTCCCCGCCTTTCCTCCACTTCTGCTCTAGGGCCTGTGCGCTTGCCAGAGAGTGAGGGAGAAAGAGAGGGTGAGAAATCAGCCCCCGGGGGATGGCCGCACCACAACCCCTTCTCCATTCTCTCTGGATTTTGGGCATGTATGCACATGGCTTGGCATGTGTCTCTCGGGCCTGAGTTCGAGATGCACACTACAAAGTTGGCCATGTGGGATCCAGCCGCCCTAACCACCAGGCCTGGCTGCCCGGACCTCTTTGCAATGAAGTCTTCCTTACTTTCTCTTTCTTTCTTTTAAATTGCCCTTGGGCATGTGTGCTTGCCAGAGAGAGGGAGGGAGAGGCAGAGTGAGGGAGAGGGAGGGAGCAGCCCCCAGAGGGAGGTTCCATGCTGTAGTCCCTCTCTGTTCCTTCATCCTGTGGCGGTTTGGGGCATGCACATGCATGTGCCTGGCATGTTTTCCAATCCCCTGGGGCTGGGATTTGGACCAGGGTTGGCCATATAGAAACTAGTTTTCTTAACTTCTAGGCCACAGGGCCGCCCCGCCCCTTACGACCGGGGCTCACCATATTGGGGCCTTTGGCCTCAGCTCCCCCTGGTGGCTGGGATCTCAGGCACACGCCCTCCTGCCAGCCCCTTAGGTTGGGCTGGGCACCGAACCAGGCCTCCCATGTGGCCCCAGTCTATGGAGCACAGCATCCTAGCAGGTGCATAGCTGCAGCTGGGCCTCTCATCACCTTCAACACAGGGTGGGTGGGAGCGGCTGAGGCTGCCACCAGCTCCGGTTAAAGCAAAACCCCCTGCCCCCCATTGCTACCTTCATTGGGCCGTGTCTTGTTCCGGTCGTAGCGTAGTAGGTCTGTGATGGCGTGGTCAGCCACAGCGGAGATCCGCCACCTCATGGGTGCTGTCACCAGCTTTGAGCGTCAACCAAGCGGCCCTTCGGCCCCAGGGTGGGTCCTGCGACTTTATCAGTCCTTTATGTATTTTGCAAAGTCTGTTTTTTGGAAATAGACTTTCAGAATTTTTTGGGATAAGCCCTTGTCATTCGCAATGTCCCCACTCTCTGGCATGCTGTGTATTCCAGGTGGACGTCGAATCCGGGCCCCTGAGTTGGGCGCCATATTGTTTGTTGTTGTTGGGCCAGAGCCTGGCCCCGTGCCCGCTCAGGGCAGGGGCTCAGCACATTTTTGATGAATGGATGAATACGTCTAGAGGGAAAGCGTGTGCAAGGGGCCACCGTACTTCCCGGGCAGGAGCGGGGAACCTGCGTGAGGGGTCACCGTACTGCCCGGGCAGGAGGGGAGAGCGTGCATGAGGGATCACCATACTTCCCGGGGAGGAGGGGAGAGCGTGCATGAGGGATCAAGGGGTCACCGTACTTCCCGGGCAGGAGGGGGGAGCCTGCGTGAGGGGTCACCGTACTGCCTGGGCAGGAGGGGAGAGCGTGCATCAGGGATCAAGGGGTCACCGTACTTCCCGGGCAGGAGGGGGGAGCCTGCGTGAGGGGTCACCGTACTGCCTGGGCAGGAGGGGAGAGCGTGCATCAGGGATCAAGGGGTCACCGTACT